AATAATTTATGTAATATTAAATTTGAATTTTATGTAAATAATTCTTGCTATAAATATGAGTTTATCATTTTGTTCAATTCTTAATTTACATTTAACAAAAAAAAAATTTTTTTGTTATAAATATGAAAAATTCTATATTTTTATAATTTTATTTATACAATAATACGGGTCAAATCAGAACAAACCGCGACCCACGCGACCTGTGACCCACATGGGCTCGACCCGGATAGGTCAGCGGGCGGGCCTGGGTTGTATTTCAAAATTTGTAGGTCGACCAGAAACTGGCTCGAAACTCGTAGCAGGCGGGCTTTTTTTCATGCGGACCGTTACCGGACTCATATGTTGACGGATCGACCCGATCCGGACCACCCGGATTGACACCTCTATTACAAACTGTTTGGCCTCTTATGATTACTTCAAATATGCACTGTTTGATAGCCTTTAATTTGGCTTTTAAAAGAGATTTTACATTTTTAAACAGTAAATATGAATTAAAAAATACTGATCCACCTGACAGCCTTTATTACCTTTTGTAAATTGGTGTTCCATTCTTGACCTTATTGAACCATTTGGAAATTACAGCCTTGTCCATCAATGTATCTCTCCCAAAAGCCACGGTCGGTTGCCCTATTCTCTCCTTTTTGGAAAAGAGTATTTTTGGAATGTCAGAAAATTTTCAATCAAAAAAGGTAAAATGAGGCAACTGTTTTATAAATGATCGGAAAATTTTAAATGCTGTTGTTACGGGCCTATGTCCACCTGTCGCCTCACCCGCCACGTGTTAATAGAAGTGGTCCACACCACGCCACGCGTTGTCAAGGTGATTGTGCATAGGACGAGTTGATTGCATATGTCGAAGTGATTACATGAGGGACGGACTGAACGTAAGTCAGCGAAGGAACCGAACTCATCTGCGATACACCGCGGATGCAAATACCCGTACTCCGCTTCTACGACTCTACACCTGCCTCGCCTCGCCCCAGCAAAGATCTTTTATACAAAGATTTTTTCAAAGTCAAATCCTTGACTGATGGGACGTGTGGCCGGACCCAAACAGTCAATTCAGTTGCCTTTGTCAGATACATTCAATGCCAGCCAACCTATGGGGGGACGATTGACACCTAGGATAGGACGAGCCCTGAGGATCTGATAACACGTCTCCTCATCCAACGGCTCTTCTCTTCTCATCCTTAGCATAAATATCCCCTCCTTGTACCAGAAGAAGCATTCGAATCAAAATTTCTCCTACTACATTGCAAACTTCAGTATCATCTTCTTCCTTAAATATTGGCACTTTATCACTACACTTTACCAACCATTTCTCGGTGAGTGTCCTACCTTCGATAAACCTTTTCTAGTTGAACCTTAAACTGACTTGATCGTCGGAGTGTTCGCAACCGTTCCCAGCTCTTACGGGAAAGGCCACAAGTGATTAACGGCGTGCTACGTGTGTAGGAAAGAGTTGACTTGAAAACTTATTCTGTTGGCCACGTGCCGAAACCATTTTTTGAGGTCAACAGCTATAAAAAAGATGCATAATGGCATGTCAATTTACTAAGGGAATCCACTTTCGTCTCGTTCCCCCATAACTAATTTGTAAGGATGGAGAAAGAAACTCTATATTCTCATTATAGTAAATAAGTGATTTTAGCTCTTGTGAAAAGAAAATGAATTATTGAACTCCTTTCGAGCTCATGTCACGTCAAGGTACTATAGAAGAACTTCTATAAAATTGTTTGGGTAATTGGCGCAAAACGTCCCTACCTTTGAAGGTTTTTGTGGAAAACGTCCATACCTTTCGTTTTTTGGCGCAGAACGTCCCTACCTTTCACATTCTTTGCTCTGAACGTCATTTTTACCAATTTTTAACATAAAATGACCATTATACCCTCCTATATAAATAAAACAAAAAAGAAAAGAAAAGAAAAATAAAGAATAGATTGCAATACGCTCCTAAACTTTTTAAAAATGCAAATCAGTCCAA